CAATCCCCTTCCTCCTAACCAGAGCAGGGACAGAGCCCAGGTATCCTGGCTCCTAGCCACATCCATGCTTACCAGCCCTGTAGCAGCTAGTCAGAGCCCTGCAGGTCAAAGACAGTATTAACCCTTAACGTGAAACTGCTCACAGCACATGCTAATTTGTAACAAAGGCAAGATGCTTCCTAGTACCCTCTCTCGCAGCATAATTATCAGGAAGAAGGGCATGAGACTCTTGTGCAGCAGGAGATGGCATAAGAACAACTCTACAAGGTATTGCCATCTCGTGCTAGGAACAGAGAAGAATAAGATTTCTTTCTTCTCACTGCAGAGTTTGTCCAGCCATTCAGGAAAGCTGGAGTCTAGGGGGTAATCTTATTGCCTTCCATTTCTTTGTGGGAACTCTGTGGGCTTCACCTACTGCTATAGATTAACTCTAAACATAACTTTGTATTAGCTGTGCCTGCCCTCTTGAACAGATCAGACACATGCGAGGAAGAGATTGGGACTCATAAGTACAAACTTTGGTTCTGAACCTGCTTCTTTTGTAAACAGTTGCTAATAAATTATAGGATTTTGCAGGACCAAATAGGATGTTTAGCAGTGTATTTGAACACATCTTAATATAGGCAGTCCTCAACTTACAACATTTCAGACTTACGTTTATAAATTGACACCCTCTTCCAACTTAACAACGCTAGTTTCGACTTACAACGCTTGATCCGATGCAATGCCATGCCAGCAAACAAGTTCACTGTGTCGCTCATCTCCCTTGAGAGCATCTGTCCAAACTTCCTTGGAGACTTTCTTTAAGAAAGCAGACAAGACTCCAGAAAAACCTGCAGCCAAGACTCCTGAGAAGACTCCAGCCAAGAGCCCTTCAAAAAGTCCAACCAAGAGCCTTTCAAAAAGTCCAGCAAAGTCACCTCAAAGAAGTCCTTCCAAATCAATATGATTGCTATTTACAAAATAAACACATTAATGTAGCTATATTACTCGTCTATATAAATTGATCAAGTACAAAATTCTGGGGTATTTTTGGTGAAAATAGAGTATCGGACCTTGGTTCAGGAACCAATCCCCCATTTATAACATTGTTTCTTATGAGAAGATTGGTTCCAAGTTACAACATTTCGACTTAAGATGCAGTTTTCAGGAACCAATTGTGTCGTAAGTCCAAGGACTGCCTGTACTATACTGAGTTTATGATGAGCACAAACAGGCTCTAGGGTGTTTTTTGATGCACTGTTCCTCTACTTGTCAGTTATTTTTCTCCTCCCTGAATAAACTATTTCTGACTAATTGTTTCCCTGGCTTCCCAAAAGCTATTCAGTTTGGTGGCACATTGACTTAATAGGCTGAGATCCATTGCATAGAGGTACAAAACAATAATGACCTGACACTACATTTCAATTACATTTTATAACATGAATAAATCATGTCATCATCACATGCTGACATCATACTATGGTATGGAAGTGTAACATTACTAATCCTTCCCGCTGGCAGAAAAAAAAAGAAAGCGCTCTCTACGCACCATATGAAAGAACCACTGAGCCCAGTTTGTTTAGTCTGAATTGTGCTGCCTAATAGGATAAAGGATCAGTTACAGTATGGAAACTCAGCCTTTACTTATTTAGGTAGATATGTGTAAGGCATTATGGCCCTATTACACTTACAAGGTCTTTTTGCACTTTAGTTTAAGAGCGTTCCATCCACTACATCTTCACCTTCCTCATGATTATTATTTAATTTAACCCTTTTTTATACTGAGAAGTTGATTTCTTGCTACTTCTCTTCAAAGCATGTCTCAAATCTTGGGGAAAATATATTTGCTTTTTGTGGTTTGCTGCTGACAGGACTAAGTATATGGTGTCAGAAACAAAATATAAATAGGCTTGTTAACCTATACTGCTTGTCTCAAACTATTTGTAATGATCTCTATTTTAATAGTCTATATTTATATACTAAATATTTCTATATTTATATATTTTAAAGGGAAAAAATCTGTTTTTTTTTCACATTTTTCTATGGGGAATGGAAAACCCAGATCCCTGGTCATCACTTTATTTATGTTATTAATAATATATCCCAACAAGTGTAATTGATTTATCCATTGATTGTAAACTTTCTGATATTACTTTGTCATGTTATTTATTTGCACAATGTCTAATACAGCAGGGGCCAACCTTTTTGACAGGTGTGCCATGAGGTAAGCCCCACACTCCCTGAGTACCACTCTGATCCCCTTTCCCTGCTCAGTTTGTTACTCTGCTTTCTGCTCCATGCCTGATCTGTTGCTCTGCTCTCTGCTCCCTCCCCGATCTGCTGTCTGCCATGCACAATGGCTGCCTGGGCCACTTGTGGTACACGTGCCACAGTTGGCCACCCCAGTTCTAGTATATGGGAACCTAATATCTGTTTGGGTTGTGTGGGCAGTACTACAATGGAAATGATCACCTCTAATTGGTGTATGTCACTTATGCTTGTTTTACAGTTCTAACCACAAAGTTATAGTTGTTAACTAGACTGGTTTATCTTCACACCTTTAATTACACTGATGTAACATTAACAAGCCTCTAAATACTGCAGTGTTTTAGGAAGGCTCAGAGAGGACAGCATGACTGGGCTACATGTCAGAAACTATCCTAAGTGAAAATTATCCCACAACTCAAGCGGTGGTGCCTGAGTTTTTTGGATCTGCACAGCTTGAGTCCTGCCCCTGAAGCTGACAGTAGGCTCAACCACAGAGCATCTGATCTAGGCTTCCTTCAGAGGTAGGCAGAGAAGGACTCCCCCAGAAGAGGGGGGGTTCCCAATTTGGCAATAACTGTTGTTTTTCTGTTTTTCTTCAAGCCTTCACTCCTGGATCCATGTAACAAGCGTGAGACTCAGGGAATGTTTTTCAGTACAAACAAGGAAACTTTCCTGCCTGCCTGCTCTTGATACAACATCAAAAACATGATCCAAGCATTCCCCAACAGCTGGCTTCATGACCAGCAGGCAATGAGTGTGGGGAGCTGGGCACAAGGCAAACTACCATGGTTTATTTGAGGCCCTGACTCCTGTGTTTTGATTCCTGGGCAGGGTTGCATGCATGTGTGTGACCATCCTGGCCTAGCACCCACCAGAGCTGACGTGGCAGGTGGGGGCATGCAGTTTTCCTTCAGAAAAAATCAGGAAAGGCCAAGTGTGTGTGTGTGTGTGTGTATTTGCAGTATTTGGGGACTGAATAGTTTCATGTGCATATTTTAAAAATTAGATCTTCACTGAACTGTTTTATATGGGCTAGAGAGTTCCTAAACTAGAAAGCAAATTCTTTACCTCTGGCTAAAAGTTACATTACAGAGCAGACCTCCAAAATAGGTTTGGCAATCATCTGTTCTCCATTCAGAGCTCTCTACCTTTAAAACACTTGAGCTTTTTATGAACTAGCAATGCAACAGTAATATTTCCTAGGAGGCCCCAGAGAGAAATCTCTGTAAAAAAACCTACTGTGTACAATATGTGCCATGGAGGTGTGGGCCAGTGGGGTAGTGACCTCAGGCAGGCTCTACCCCACCCGCGCAGCATGAGCACCCCTGTCCCAGTCTGCACCCGCCTTCTTGCAAAGGCTGACAGGGAGCCCTCAGGTAGAGCTAATGCAGAACACCCCTATCCAGGCCAGCCCGACAGGTGGGATGGATGAAAGACTACAAATTCCATGATGCACAGCATGCCCCAAGATGGCGCTTGCGCTTGGAGCGGCATCGCGGGAGGGGGCAGGCAGAGGGACTGTAGAGTACCTTCTCCCCCCTCCGCCCAGAGACTGGGGGTTGGAAGACTACAAATCCCATGCTGCACTGAATCCCCCCAAGATTGCACCTGCACGTGGAGCATGATGGGGGCCAGCAGAGGGAGTGTAGAACAGAAGCAGGCGAAATACGACCCGTGGGTAGGGTCTGGCCCGCCAGACCACTCTATCCAGCCCACAGGACCCCTAAGAAATTTAGAAAATGATCTAGAAATTTATCTCCCCGCCCCCGCCTTCCCAGCTGCAGCGTTGGGATTGCAGGAGCAGCTGGGACGGAGGAGAAGGGCAGCACTTGCAGATTGGGGTCGGGGAGCAGCAAGTGGTAGCAAGCAGGAGCACAGGGCCTGCGCCAGTGCCCTGGGGCCAGGAGCAACAAGGGCACAGAGCCCAGGCTTGTAGGAGCGCTGACAGCCTTTGCCTGCGGCGGG